AAATTAGGTAAGAAATGTTTCGGTCCATTAAGTCGTATACATTTCTTACCGATACCACAGTTGGACTTCGTCAGTACGACGGCTGTGGTAACATATCCAGCTCCGTGGTTCGCTAAGTTTGCCGTTGTTGAAACCCACTTTTGGTTTGCTTCCTCATACCATTGGCAATTATTTGCTTAATTTAGCACATCCATTTTCATCCACTGGGAAAAGAAACTGAGGCATCATCTGTATGAAAAAATACAGAAGTAAAATAAGCAAAAACAGTGTTGCATCATGACTCCCTCCTAGGAAGGTCATGTAATGGCGCGGATGGGCCTATATTGACAACAGTATTGTAAAGCAGTGTCGATCTAATGTGGTATTGTGATATTGTGGAGGCGACTCAGACGATTCACGAAGGGTACGGGCCCTACTACCCCGAACTATAGCCAAGGAGTCGACGACCCTACTCAACAAGTCGGAGTATCGGGGCAGTCGACGAGCCGCCTAACCACCAACCCAACAACAGTACAGAAGTTCAAATAACCTAACGTAATTTCTGTAAGATTATCTGTCGCGTTTCATCCTTTTTATTTTATATTTTAAAAATTTTGAAGAAATTCTATATCGGGCTGCCAGCAGTACAGTCTGCTCCAGCAAACATAAAATATTTTATGTTTAAATATTTCCTTTAAATATTTTAAATTTCTTTTTCATTAAATTTTCAAATCTTTAAAATCTTTAAATATTTCTTTAATTTTAAAATCTTTAAATACTCCCCTTAAGTTTTTAAATAAATTCCTTTAAATATTTTAAATCCGTTTAAATATTTAAATATTTCCTCCAACAAGTAAAATAATCTTTTTTTTTTGGTCTAACTGCCTAACTTTAAGAGGATTGTCTGTGCACAATAATATTTCCTATTAAGTCGGCAGATATTACTTACTCTTTGAATATTGTAGTCCACACTTTGCAGTGTCTGTAATCGTCGCCTATGCAATACATCCGTAAAAACAACATGAACTGGCTCCATTCGGCCGGTATGTTGCAAAAGCCATTGCTTGTCCGGGTTCGGAGCGTAGTTCCATGCTTCTGTCCTTTGAGAAAAAAAAAGATACTGCACAAGTATTAAATGTTGGACATGCATAAATTATGTAAAACCTTACGCTAAAGCAAAATGCCACATACCTGTGTGTTTCAACATCCTCAAACCATGTGGAGTACTGTGGAGCAGGATCTTCTGGGCCATGAGGTGCGGGAAATGAAAGCACAATCAGATAGGGCTTTGGATGTGGTCTTTTATGCAGCTGTCGTATGTAGGCTATCGTGTCATTAGCAATTAAATCGGTAAAATAGTCCTGTAAATTAACGAGATCACGATGAAACTTTCAAACCGGAACTACCTCATTTTATAAAAATTGGCCAGCGCATCGGCTGACGATGCGAAGATGCGTTTTTTGCATAGTTCCCCGCATGTTTTTGTTGCAAACGGCGTGGGTTTTTCCGGCAGAAACTTCTAGCTAAACGAATTGAGACTGGCCACCAAGACTGTCAGGAAACATCCCCTTAAAATTCCAGGCTTCTAGTTTTTCTGGTTCCCGAGTTAGCAGCTTACTCGCTAAAAACATTGAAGGGCCCATACGTACATGTAGATTAAGTTCCCAACATTTCAGCCCTGCAGTCTTTGTAGGTGCCGAGATGAAAAATCGATTGAAACGAACGCACAGACACAGACACACACACAGCCACACATAACACACAGACAACTCCTCGAAAATATGCGTTCCTGCAATTGCACCCTTCGAAAATATGCGCTTTTTGCATCGCACAGACGCAAAAAGCGCATAAAAATGCAATTTTACTTCCCCAATCGATTGTATTGCTGCGAGAGATTAGTAGAACTTTAGGATTACCCGCACCCTGACGCAAAATTTTCAAAAATATTTAGACTCTCAAAAAAGAGCTCTCCTTGCTAAACGATGAGATTTTTGCCGCCCCATCCTGTGATTATCTGGGCCATTTTACTAAAAATATTACGATGATTTCACTCAGTTCCCTGTTTGCTTTAAATTGCAAATATCTTATCCTACTTCACATGCAGGCAAGCCCAGATAATCCTTGATCAGCGTATCTCTGATCGAAAAAGTTCCAGGAGACAAGAACTTGGACCGCACACTCCGCCTACTATACGACGGGATAGTGATCGTTGCAAAAAAGAAGCCCGGAAAGCTGGAAATTACCAAAAAAATTCAAAATGTAAGCGAACTTTTTCATAGTTCGATCCGTGTTTGATCTTGTCACCATTCACATTGATCGTGTAGTTGTAAAAGCGACTGTTCCTGATCAGCCCCATCCAGTGATCCCAGCCAGGCGGAACGTACGAACCCGTATATTCGTTCAAATATTTACCAAAATAAGCTGTTGTATAACCAGCTTCATTTTTCAGATACACAGCAAATGTGCTCTTTTCATAAACACTCCTAAAAAATGCTACAATATCTAGCTGACAAAAAGCCGCAAACAAATTTTACCTTATCAATTTCGATATACAATGCAACAGATGTGATATTTCTCATAGTATTTTTAAAAAAAGCTTTTTTAAAATTTTTAAAAAGCTATCTGATTAGCA